ATGATATCAGGTTAAAATACCAGAAACACAGAGATAAACATCTGGGATTTAATTAGAGGTAGTAAACAGGAGTTGGAGTCAGGTTACTGGTTCACAGTGAAAACACAAAGGTTAGGGGAAGCAGAAACTTGGGGTGAGTTAACAAGGATGTAACTTCAACAACAGGAGAAAAATGTGCCTACTTGTGCTAACACAATCAAAAACCAAACTCACTGCTGTCGAGTCGAACCCTACTCCTAGTGATCCCTCCTTGGGTTTTTGAGGCTGTATCTCAACAGAAGTAGATTGCCCAATCTTCCTTCCATGGAGTGGCTGGTGGTTCAAATACTAGCAGTCTGGTCTTTTTTTTACATGATTCTTTTCTGGGTAGGAAAAGAGTATAGAAAAAGAGATGAACATTTACAGAGTACTTAATGTTGTAGTATTACCAGACTGGAGAATATAGTTCCTGAAACAGAATAATTGCTCAATAAACATTCATTAAATGAATGAATGTATGCCAGGTATTTTGCTTGACATTTTACATATACGATCTTATTTATTCTCATACATGAGGTATGCACTATTTTTCTTCATCTGTAAAAAGAAAGTGTAATCATAACTATTTTTGTTGTTGTTGAAAATACACAAGTCAAATACACACAAATTCAACAATTTCTACATATACAATTCAGTGACATTGATTGCATTCTTCAACCATTCTCACCCTCCTTCTTCAAATTGTTCCTTCTCCCTTAACATAATTAAAGTCTGCATCCTAAGCTTACTATGCAACCTTTCAAGTGGGTGCTGCCAATTTAATCCTAGATAGATCATTCTTTAAAAGAGCACAATGCTCAGGGCAGACATTCTTTACTAGTCGTTAAACCATTGTTTGGTTTAAAGAAGACTTCAGGGGATATCTTTGGTTAAGATTTAAGGTTTAAAGATTATTTCAGGGCAATAGTTTTAGGGGTTCATTCAGCCTTACAGGTCTGGATTCTATGAGAATTTGAAGTTCTATTTTGCATTTTTCCTCTTCTAAGGATTTTTATGAGGATTGAGTAACTTAACATATGTAAAGCATTTGGAAAAGTACCTGGCAAATAGTAGCCACTATTTAAGGATTCTTATTATTTTCCAATGTTACCCAGCGAGGAAAATGTAGCAAAGATGTTAATTCACTTTTTCAAGTGTTACACAGGCAGTTACGGGACTGACACAAATTTCTAAACTTCGTGCTCTTTATTCTAAATTTTTTATTTTCTTTGGCCTTGGTGTGCCTGTCAAGGACCTCTACAGAGTGTAATTTTGCCTGTTTTTCTTGTAGCTAGATTGCTTTGTAGGCTTCCCATTTTTTCTCATTTAGATTATCTTTCACTTATTTTGAAATATCTTTTTATCCGCCTTTTATATTTGGTTGTACACAGCCTTTTTCACTTAACAGATACAATGATCCTCAGCACATATTTTTCTTGGAGTCCAATAATGCATTGTTTTCAATAATTGAAAAAATTATCATTGTTAGTGATTGAAGTATTTCCTTTCTTAATCTTTTTACTGGAGCTCTGGTAGCGTAGTGCCTAAGGCACTTGACTGCTAATCAGAAGACTGGTGGTTCAAACGCACCAGCCACTCACCGGAAGGAAGGTGGGGCCATCTACTTCCATAGTGATACGCCTGGGAAACCCAAGTAGGGGTCACTATGAGTCGGGTTCAACTTGACAGAACAATCAACAACAACCTTTTTACAAGTGAATGTAGTTTCCCATCTTGTCCTTCTTAATTTTAGAAGGTCTTAAGTAGGAAGATTGGGCAATCTACTGCCGTGGAGATACTGCCTCAGAAACCAAGGAGGGGTGGCTATGAGTTGGATCTGACTCAACAGCAGTGAGTTTTTTTTTTAATTAATCCTTGATTTGATTTTAGTTATAAAAAGGATGATGTATAAAGTACAACATTCCTTTCTTTCAGTGAGTTTAACTTTTTTTTTTTTTTAATTTTCACTGGCAACTTCATTATAGAGAACTTGATTCTCAGTTCTTGTTCCGTCTGTGGGTCAAGCAGATGGATAATGTAATTTCTCACAACATGATCATTTAAATTGACTTCTATGAGACATGTATATACCAATTTTAATGCCAGCACTATTCACGATAGTCAAAAGGTGGAAACAATTGAAATGTACATCAACAGATGAATGGATAAACAAAGTGTGCTACATAAATACAAGGGAGTTATTACTCAGCCATAAAGAGAAATGAAGTCCTGGTACATGCAAGGACATGGACACACCTTGAAAACGACTCATACAGACCCCTATTGGGTTTCCGAGGCTGCAAATCTTTATGGAAGTAGATCACCCCATCTTCCTTCCAAGGAGTGGCTGGTGGTTTTGAACCGCTGACCTTCTGGTTAGCAGTCAAATGCCTTATCCATTACACCACCAGAACTCCTTACCTGGAAACATCATGCTGAGTGAAATAAGTCAATCACAAAAGAACAAATATTGCATGATCTTACTTATATGAAAACAAAAATCCTCACAACTGGACCAATAAGTAGCATCACGATGAATGGGGAAAAGATTGAAGTTGTCAAAGACTTCATATTACTTGGTTCTACAATCAACGCCAATGGAAGCAGCAGTCAAGACATCAAAAGAGGTATTGTGTTGGGCAAATCTGTTGCAAAAGACCTCTTCTAATTGCTGAAGAGCAAAGACATCTCCTTGAAGATTAAGATGTGCCTAACATAAGCCATAGTATTTTCAGTCGCTTCATATGCACGTGAGAGCTGGACAATGAATAAGGAAGACCAAAGAAGAGTTGATACTTTTGAGTTGTAGTGTTGGTGAAGAATGCTGAAAGTACCGTGGACTGACAAAAGAACTAACAAATCTGTTCTGGAAGAAGTGTGGCCAGAATGCTCCTTGGAAAGGAGAATGGCCAGACTTTGTCTCACCTACTTTGGTCATGTTGTCAGAAGGGACCATTCTCTGATAAGGTGATGGGTCCACGAAAGAGGGGAAAGCCCCTCAACAAGATGGATTGACATGGTGGCTGCAGCAATGGGCTCAGTCAGGTACTGTAGGGATTGTGAGGCTGGCACAGGACTGGGCAGTGTTTGGTTCTGTTGCAAATAGGGTCGTCATGAGGCAGAGACGACTCGACGGCACATAAGACCACCACCACCACCAACAACAACAACTTATATCAAATAACAAAATAAATGTACAGAGACCAAAATTTCTCAGTGGTTACCAGGGGCAGGAGGGATATCAGAGGAGGGGGAGTCATTGTTTAGGAAGCAGTGTGCTTCTGTTTATGGTGATTGGAAGTCTAACAAATGATTATGGATGATTGTTACACAACATGATTAATGTAATTGATATCAGTGAATTGTACAACTGAGAAATGTTGAATGGGCAAATGTTATGTTGTTATGTATGCTTTTACACACACAAAATTAACCTCTAAGAGCTCTGGTGGCACAGTGTCTAAAGAATTTGACTGCTAAGCGGAAGGTTGGTGGGTCAAATCCACCAGCCACTCCAGAAGGAAGAGGAGGCATTCTACTTCACTAAAGTTTTGTTGCTTCGGTAACCCAGTGGGGGTCTCTATGAGCTGGAATTGACTCGAAGGCAGTGGGTTGGGTTTGGTTTGATGACCACAAAGCAATTTATGGAAATTGTGATTATTTCCTGTATTTTTTTTTCCCAAAAAATAGAGCCTATGGTTGGGCAATCCTACTTCTGTAGTGATACTGCCTCGGAAACCCAAGGAGGGGTCGCTATGAGTTGGGGGCGACTCGACAGCAAATAACAACAACAACAACATGCCAATTAAACTTTAGTTAAGTGCAGATTTCTCTAAGAAAATCAGACTGTTGACACATTGTTCAAATGGAAATAGATGCAATAGAGGTGAATAGGATACTGAAATTAATAACAGCATATGCCCAAGCGTTCTGTTGTTTCTTCAGTAACATTAATGGACATTAGTGAAAAAGATTTTAATAACTCCGAGTAGGGAATGGAGAGGTGGTAGTGATCTCAATAGTTGGGTGATAAACCTGATCTCAGATTTCCCACAAAGAAGTTTGAACTTTCTCCTGTCTGTCCTGTATTCTGAATGTCTTCAGCTTCTAAATATAAACTCCTAAAATCCAAACTTCTTAGCCCCAGTGTTAAATCTTCCAAATTCTCCCCCAAACCAAAACCTGCATTTCAAACACATACTCTAAGGTTGTTTGATGATCAAAGAGTTTTCCATCCGCCAATACTGAAATGATGAGAAAAAGAAAAGGATATATTTTGCAGATCTTGGCACCACTTCAAAGAGTGATAGAACAGAACGCAGAGAAGTCTTCCAAGTGTTGGAAGGCAGGAGTTTGGCTGAGACCCATACACACTGGAACTAGAGGCGTCCTTGAAAACATTCTAAAAGTCTTCTCATATTTTGAGATTTTAAACTATGATAAAATTCATATATGCCTAAAACTCAATACTGCACCAATTTTCCTTCCCAAATGACTCCTTATCGTTTGTACTCGTGCTAACACTGATCGGTGATTCCTGAGGCATTTGCAGTAAGATTGAGAGTCCTTTTAAGTGCTGTTTTTATATTCTCGAAAACGAATCTCTTTCATCCCTACCTAATATATTTGTATTTATTTTGAAAAATAAATTATTTTGAAAAGGTGAAGCAAGTGAAGATTTTGTGACATTTCCCCAAATGATCTATAATTAGGCTGGTGTAGACTTGCAAGATTTTGGTACCCAAAGCAGCGGACCCGAGATTTAGCATCCTTCGTCTGATCACACATTTCTTAAAGCCAGCATTCTACACTTTTGAACAGCAGCATCTCCTCTCCATCCAACACCTCCTCCCGGTTCGCCCCTCTGTTCCTTCCCCCCGTCTACCTCGCCCCCTCCCAGCCTGCGCATGCGTCGTAAGCACCCCCTACACTCGCGGCACAGGCAGAGAGTATTGTCGGGGGCTATTCTCTCTCCCAGGAACATGGCGGCGAGTCAGGGAGGTGGTGGTAACAGTGGGGGCGGCGGTTGTGGGGGAGGTGGAAGTAGCAGTGGAGGTGGCGCGGCCGGAGGGGGAGGTGGCGCGGCCGGAGGGGGAGGTGGCGGCGGCGGCGGCGGGACCCTGCCAGTGCCCATCCCGGTGCCGACTCTTTTCGGTCAGCCGTTCCCCAACGGGCCACAGTGGAACCCAGGGAGCCTGCAGCCTCAACACACAGTGAGGAGCCTGGACCGGGCCCTGGAGGAGGCGGGCAACTCCGGCATCCTGAGCCTAAGTGGCAGGAAACTCCGAGACTTCCCGGGCAGTGGCTACGACCTGACCGACACCACCCAAGCAGGTGACAGGACGGGGGGAGGGGAAGCTGGTAAAGAGAGGGGATGGGGGGTTGGGGGTTGGCTGCGTGGCCGCCTTGTTGGACTCTGTTGATCTGGGCGGGTGCGCGGGGGCGGCGAGACTGCTGTGGGTTTCTCCCGAATGTGAGGGGCGAGGAAGGGAATGGGGGAGAGGGGAAATGCTGACTGCAGAATGTATGGAAACTAGCTGGGATATTAGGGGTGGAAAAGCATTGTAAAAGCGAGTTTCCTTAGTGAGGAGCGGGAGAGAGATATTGTTACCTGCCTTAATGCACTTCTTCCAACTCTTCTGGATGTTCCCATCTTTCCCGGAAAGGAAAAAGAAAAAAGACAATACATAAAATAATAATTTGTACCTATTCCTTAAAGGCATACACGTCTCCAAGAATGGCATATCCCTTTTCCTAGTACAGCTGTAGTGTTGCCAGGGTTTTTCTGTCTTATTTTTTTTTTGTGTGTTTTTTAATTATCCTAGCATATTCTTGGCTTTATTGTCTTGGGTGCCTTTAAAGACTGACAGTATTCATTTTCCTGGTGTTGAGAAGGTAGTGGTGGTTAAATTACTATTTGCTGCAGTAGCAAATTAAATCATCAGTCACTTATGGGTCTGGTTACTATGGAAAAATAATCCTTGTTTTGAGTTATGTTAGAAAATTTTTATAGCAGAAAGAGCCAAAAATTTAAGGGCATTTTTTGGGAAAAAAATTAACTCCGTTCTTTTATAGAGTTGTGGATTACTGGCTTATTTTGAGTGAGAAATTGGCTATTGTAATGTTCTTCAAATACACTCTGGTAGTCTTTGTTGTAGATGGCATTTTTTGTTGTTGTTGTTTTTATGAATGCACCCTCTTTCCCCTTTGCCTTATAATTCAATGATGATTATTTTGGGTGTGTTTTGGTTTGATGGAAGGGTTTTTTGCTATTCACAATTTTTAAATGGTTAATTTCTGTTTTTTTTTTTTTTTCTCCCATCTGCTTTACTGAAATAAATCATGGGCAAAATTTTCTTAATAGATGTAGTAATTATGAAACAATACAGTACATGAATTCATCCTTTATGAGAACTAATAAAAGACCTCTTATTTTCAGAATAAGAGAATTTCTATATATTTTCTGGTATTAAATCAAGGTATGTGGGCTTGGAGGAGAGTTGGGGAAGAGGAAAACCTAAATTGAACCCTTCTACCCAGTGATTCTCTTAGGAAACATTCTAAGAACTATAAATGTGCAATTGGTCCCTAATTCTGTATTTTGAGAAGCTTGTTGGAATATTTACTCCTTCACTCTGAACAGATTTCCTAAACAATATGTTCACATATTCATGAATGTATTGCCAAGATATTATGCTACTTGATTTGTTCTTCAAGGGCTTCAAGAAAAATGGTTCCAGACTGCATCATTCATTATAGGAATATATTATTTTGCTTATTGTTCTCAGCTTTAAAGGCTTTCTCTAGCCGTGGAACAAAGTTTGAGAATCCTAGCTTGGCATTCACGTTCCTTCACTGTCCAGCTCCAATTTATTATTGTAACCTTATCTCCTCACATGCTCCTACATGGAACCCTCTGTTCCAACTAGGTCAGCTCCCTGCTCCTCAAATATGCTTTGTTGACCTTAATAGGGCTTGGAAATGAATCTGCCTCATCTTTGCACAAGGTGATGTGCGTGTTTGGGATTTCCTTTTTTTCTCCACCTATTTAATTTTGTTCAACTTCTTGCTTTTCCAAGAAGCTGTCTGCAACTCTTAGGCGGCGCCGGGCTCCTATTTCTTTGAATTCCCATGGTACTTATTGTCTTTACCACTTACTTAGCAGTGCTGGCTCTATTTTCCTTTGATATTTGTGTCTTACTGTTCCTGAGAAGATGGTGAGCTCCTTCTGGGCAGGGAATAAGTCCTATCCTTACTCAATCTTCTCTTAGTATATTGCTTATATTGTATTTGATAATATTTTTCATAATTATAACCTTTGGCTTTTAAGCCTTTAGTGTTTTTTTTTTTTTTTTTTTTTTTTGAGGCTAGCTTTAATACAAACCAGACTCATCTTTGTTCTTGGTAAACATTCATCATAACCTTTATCAGTGTCTATCATAACACAGTATTTCTTGAAATAAGCCTACCTCGTTTATTTATTTTTCAGTTGAATGTATGTTCCTTGTGGTTGCATTTCAAGATTAAATAGGATAAAACAGATATTGTGTTGCTCTTTTTCCCCCCTTTAAATGAGAAATCTCTGGGTAACTTATTTTACCATTCATTTTTGACAGAATTCAGCCCTAAAATATTTAGGGGTGATATGTTTTCTAAAGATACCAGTATCCATTATATATAAATAGACGGTAGGTACACTGGAAATGAGAAAAAGAAATAGAGCACATGTGTGTATGTGTATAATCTCACACATGTATTTGTTTCCAGTGTATCTACCATCTATTTGATGGATACTGTTCTGTTTGGTGATATCATTATACTTAAAATGGCATACAGTTTGGCTTCGCTTGGTTTATTCACTCTCACTCCTAATTGCTCCCAAACATGCTCTACCTAAATTCAGATCTGTCTTCTGATCTACAAACGCACATACAGTCCTCATTCCTGCTTCTGTGTTTTTGCTCAAGCTCTTCCCTACTGGAATTGGTGTCTCTTAGTGTGTCTGATTAGATAAACAAGCATATAATGATTTACTGGATTGGGAGGAGACTGGAGGAAGGGAAAATAGCTAGGAGACTATTCTGTTAATAATCTAGGTGACAAGTGAGAATTTTGGCGAGGTGGTCACAAGAAGGTTGGATAATAAGGGGTAAATAAATAAATGTCAAAAGAAGGAGAAAGGGCTTTTGACATTATCCTGCTGTCCCTCACACATGCATAAGATGCATTAGAGGGTAGTTCTCCACCCTGGCTACACATTAACATCTCTTTAGTTTTTTGTTTTTTTTTTAAACTATTACTGAGCCTCACCCTAGACCAATTAAATCCGAATCTCTGAGGCCTGGAGGCTTGAGTTTTTAAAAATCTTCCCAGGTGATTCTAATATGCAGCTAGGGTTGAGAAACCTTCAGCTAATTTTGAGGGGCACTCAAGAAATATTTATCATTTGAGGTAATGAGAGCATTGATAAAAATCTAATGACAGACTAATCACAGTCACTTGTCAAGAGGGACAAAAACAGAAGCAGGAACTAAGTGTGCAAGTTCTAGTGCAATATTCTTTTCAGCAGACTTGTGTGAAGAAGTAGCGACTTATTTTGTTTTCATCCTATTGTGTCTCTAGTGAATAAAAATTTATTAGAAAGCTATAGTTTCTCCAGTTCCCATGCATAACTCTGGTTTACATTTAATAATATTTAACAGATTTGCGTTAATAAAATAGTGCCTCCAAATATGTGCAGTTGAATCTTGTTTTCTGTTAACTACTCACCTGGCTGTGAGGGATAATGGACAGCAGACAGTTGTTGGAATGGTTTATCTTTGGCGTCTTTCTCCTTCTCTTTTTGCTTCTGTTCTGATTTTCCTTACCTGCCCCCTTCCTTCTGTCCCTATCATTCCACTCTCCTTGTATTTCTCTCCTTCCTTCTTCGCAGAACTCACGTTATTCCTTTACTGGAAGGGAGCTCAATGCTAACTGATTATGGCAGCCCTTCCGGAAGATCTGCATTTAAAAGGGGGTATTCACTAGTTGGTAGTATGTGCTCTTAACTTTGAGTAGATCTGCTTTTACATACTTCTTGACTAAATTTCTCAACCACATAAAGACAAAAAAACAAATCAGAAATTTGGTAACCCATTTCAGGAGGGTAGCTGACTTTTTGTTGTAATGTCTTCTTTGAGGTGGTCTGTAGGTAAACTTAGCAGGACAAAGGAAAATTAACTAGAACTTTTTACTCTGTCTAGATACAGTGATAATTTGTTGACCTTAATAGGGCTTGGAAATGAATTTATGGCTTCCCAAACAAATCCTAAATCTATCACCAATGCTGTAAATACATGGATGTGTCAGCCTACTTGCAGCTGTTCTCTTTGCTTCTTTATACCTCTTTGTGATCACAAGCAATAGGTCTGTGGAACAGATTTAGGAATTCGTAAGTGCATCAGATTGAGCTGTGTCCTGGTTAATCACATATTTTTCTAGAAACTAGGAGTCAACTCTCGTATTTCCTACATGTGCTGATTCACCTTTTCAACTGTGGGGCATGGGACACTGTATCAGGTTGTAAAAGGGACCCGGGTAAAGGTAGTATCTGATTCTGGTAGATAAGTGGAGGACCTGTCGATGCACTCAGTGGAATGAGCTATTTGTGATTTTGTGGTCTGACTTCAAATACCACCTTTGCTTTATGCAGTAAATATATTCCTGAAAAACTGAGTGTGAAGTACATTTTTTCGACAGTTGAATCACATTTTAATTCTTGTAGGTTGAATTTGTGTTGGTGAATCTCATAGTGATTCATTTTATTCAGTGATGAATTCTTATATAACACAAATTGTTGCCTCTTCTTTCTTTTGCAAGTTCAAATTAAAAAGCATGTTATTTTAAATTGGAGAGTATGCTCATCATTAAAGAATACCATTTATACAACTTTCAACTCCTTGTGTGTAAATATATATATATTAAGGAACTCTGGTGGTATAGTGGTTAAGGCAGTTGGCTGCTAACCAGATGGTTGGTGGTTCAAACCCACCAGCGCCTCCCTGGAAGAAAGGTAGGGCAGTTTGCTTCTGTAAAGCCTTGGAAACCCAGTGGGGGTTGCTATGAGTCCGAGTTGACTCCATGGCAGTGAGTTTGGTTTTGTACTTTGGTTTTTTATATATTATCATATTGTATCCTAATAATAACTCTGTGGGCTTGGCAGAGTACATAGAATTACTCCTTGTGGTTGAGAGAGGTTAAGTGATGTTTCCCTACTTAAGTGGCTAGTGCATGGCAGAGTGTGGCTCAGAGCCTAAGTTTTCCTACCCTAGTACTATTTCAGTGTCTTTTCTACTGTAACATGTTTTCTGTTTATAACAAAG